TTCCACCACGTGGTCTCCAAAATGAAGAACAATTAAAACAAAGAAAAAAAAGTAAAAAAAAAAAAAAAAAAAAGGATCATTTTCAGCAGTTAGTGAAAGTGAACACAATTCTAAACTGGTTGCTGTAAAGTACTTATTCATTGACTAAGTCAACGACAGAATTAAAAACGCTCCAGAATTTCAATTGGTAAACGAAGATCCACATTTATATTCCATTTTTGTGTCTCAAACATCTTGTTAACTGAGAATTCCCAGCTGCTGAGAGGAGCGACGTAGCCTCTGTAACCTGAGTTTGGGGGGCAGAAGTCAGGTGGAAAGGCAGGGCCTAGGGCCGCAGGAGGGCAGTTTGGCCAGCCAGGGCCTCCCCTGCACCCATGCTCCCTGCTCTCCGCTCCATTTTCAATCGCTTTGTTTTCCTTTCTTTTTCTAGTTCCCTCTCTTCTGCAGCCAGTCTTAGCCTCCCTTCTAGTTCTTGATTTTCTCTGCCCGAAGCATAATGCACCAAAAGGCGTCACAAGTGGCAGCAAGGCCTGGGTTTCGAGTTCCATTCCAGACCATCTTCAGTTTCACACCCCAGACAAGCGCGTTAGGCCGTCAGGGGCCGCGCATCCTGGCGGGCCCACACAGGCCCACGGCGGGATGAAGGAAACACCACCTGCATTATGCCCCACCAGTCCTTCCTGCCTGCCCTACCCGCGCCTTCTCCTCATTTCTGCGTCACCATGCCTACTGTCTCTTCTCCCCTTTCTCTTCCCCTTCCAGTCCTTTCTAGAGCCATTGCTATTTGGAAAGAACTGGCTCCACGATGTGCCACTCAGACTAACCTGGCGGGTGCATCTGGGTTACTGGCTTGTCTCGTAGGTGTCACAGACAACCGGACGACCTTATAGGATCGGACAAAAGAGGCTGAGAAATGTACCAAGTAGGCAAAAATATACTACTGACTAAAATCAAGGATGTACCAGGCACTTCTCAGTTGTGCTCAAGTCTGCCTGATTTAAGTGTGAGTTGACAACAACAGGCCAGAGGAGGAAAGCCTCTGAAAAACGGAGTTGGAATCGAGAAGCACAGCCCTCACTCACGTGAGCATGGACTCAGTGCAGCCACTGAGCACCTCGGAAGGGACTTTGGTGGGACTCCCACTTCTTTTCCCAAGTGCCACTCTGCAGGGGATACCCCCAAGCTTTTAAGGTCTGTGTCGAGGACGGTCACCCACCTAGAGTAGGCCGCAGTCGTTCCAGACACTGCTTGTCTTCCAGGCTCTGTGCCGTCGTGATCACCTTGGCTCCTCTGTGCTGGGCCAGCTGGATGGCTATGGTGCCAAGTGTCTGCGGGAGGGAGCGCACGGGCTGCGGCACTGTGCACAGTAGCCCGACCCGACTGCTTTTCCAACACGTTAGTGCTACACAGTACAGCGCGAACTGCTGTCTGATAGCGGGAGGTGGCGCGTTCAGGAGGGGACATGTTTGATGGGCTCTGTCCTCCGGGAGTGGGGATGCCCACACCTCGCGCTCCGGCCCAGCCTGCCCACCACACACACTCTCCAGGATGGAGGCCTCACTTAGCCTTGGCCTTGGCCGAAGCAGGATGGGCCTGTCAGGGCCTTGTCTGCCCCATGGTCTAAGCTAATTATACAATATGCACTTAGTCTTGCTACCTCTTTAAAGATCAACACATTTGCAAAGTTCCACTCTTCTGTGGACCCTGTGTGCAGAGCTGGGAGGCTGAAGATAGTTAAGATAGTTCTGCTTTTTTTTTTTTTTTTGCAAAAGCAGTGACAAACAGCAGCCAGATGGCAAATAAAACTATAAATTCTTTCAGGTGATGTTTTTACAGGTTCTTACTCTGGACGACACATACAATGCCTACATTATCTCTTCTGTGAGCCATCTAGGGGTGGCCCAGGACTGCAGGAGCAGTTTCAGGCTTTGGAGAACAAGTGTGGCGAAGAAACTCACCACGCCAACTTTTGATGAAAGGTTGCTTACTTTAAAGAAATGGGTGGTGCAATAAATGGACTCATGGCAAAGAATCGCATTAGCAAATGGACAGCCCATTCTAAATCCCGACGAGCAGGGTAGTTTGGTTGGTTCTTTAACAAAACAATCAGCACCTACACTTGCTCCGTCCATGATCAGCACCGACTTCCCGGGAGAAAGGCAGGAAAGGTAATGCAGAGCCATGTAGGCGCGAACACCATCTCCGACAGTTCCAGCAGCTTCTGTCCATGCAACTTTCTCCGGTTTGGGAACTAGCACACAGAACAAGAGGAACAAGCTGTGACAGGTCTAGGTCTGCCCCGTCCACCCCACCCTGGGCTGCGGGTGCGACCCTTCCCGAACTCCCCCTCTTACCCACGCGCCACCCACTTCAACAGAGGTCCCAGTGTGGGGGTGCTTTTAACAACTTCTTGTGAAAGAAAACACATGCACAGCAGTATATAAAAGATTAAAGTAAAGCCGCTGAATGGAAAAACAGAAAGCTAATATGCAAGTAAGCATTGGTCTGCCTGACAGAACACGTCCCTCAGCCCCGGCTCCTGCCCCCCATGAAGGTCACCGTCCCCTTCTAAGACACGACCCGACTGACACCAGAAGTCCCTGCCATTCTAACCTAAATTCTTAACCGCTCTGTGGTTCATCAGTCAGGTGAGCATTCCTAAACAGTATGAGCCAACTCTGCTTGTCTTTGAACTTTACCTAAACGGAGCTGCACCTATCCTTGTTCTTTTCTCTCGCTTTTCGGGGCCTCCGCTGTCGTTCTTGTGGGTGTGTGCTTCCCCTGGCTACTGCGCAGCATGCTGCCGTGAGACACGTTGGTGGGTAATCTGTTCTCTGGTCAGGGAAATGTGTGCTGTTCCCCGTGCGGGACAGTTATCAAAAATGCTGCTAATGCTTCTGCGCAAAAGATACCGACGAGGGTATCCTTTTTTTTCTCCAGGGTACTTACTGAGGTGTGGAAATCTGAGTGCTAGTACCCGGGTTCTATGACCTTCCACTTCACTGCATGCTTGCAAGGGGGGTGGCTGCAGGAGTTTCTTGGCAGTGCAGAAAGCGCTGAATGCTGTGAACTACTGTGCTGCCCGGTGGCATCAGCTTTACACATCCGGGCCAACCGTCTTGTGTGCGGTGGTTTCTTACTGTGATTTCAATTTGCTTTTCCCTGACTATGGATGAAGTCGAGATCTTTCTTTGGTTGTGGCCACCTGGAGTTCCTTTTGTGAAGGCTGTTCGAATGTATTTATCAGTTTTTCTATTGTGTTTTCTTTCCCTTATTGATCACAGGAATTACCCCCACATTCTGATAAGTCATGTATATGTGTTGTACATATTTTCCACTTTATGGCTTCTTGTCTCAATCTGAGTGTCAGAATAATATTTGAAAAACTTCAACAGCATCCACAACAGCTTAAAAATTATCAGTGGTTCTGTAACACATTTGGAACAAAAATGCAAACTGCTAATACAGCTTCAAAAGCTCTACAAGCTCCATTAGCTGCATCTGAATTTGTGTATGTTTTACCTTTTTAACATTGTACATCACATGTGTTTTTTCCACTATAAGCAATGCTTTCTCACTTTACCTAAAAACAATCTTACAAGTTTTCATAGTCTTTTTCAGCCCTTTCAAACATTTTTTTGTAACAGCAATAGATTCAGCTGGTTCAGCCAGCGTAGGGCAGCCCGATCATTTACCAAATAGTACTAGTGCCATCTACCGGCAGAGCAGAGAACCCAACATGTCTGTTGAAAATGTTCAGAGACCAGTGAGGTTTCAGTAAATCACACTAAACACCAGGTAATACTACACACACTACTTTATTCCTTAACAAGTGCTCAAAGGTAGCTCTTCTTCAAATTGTAATGGTTATGACATGGACTTCAGAACAATTAATTCACTTGTCTAAGGCCACAGAGCTAACAATGCGTCACCACCCAGCACATCAATGCTAACGTGTTCAATGGAGTTATGTGGTATTTTGGGGAACCTCTTCCATCTTATGAATTTAAACCACCTATATAGTCATTAGAATATCAAATATGTAGTCCTTAAACGCTACCAATAAAACTGCACTTAAGATAACAAAGGTTTGAAAAACAGTGCAATGTGGCTTAATCTTTGCTTTTGTGTTATTAGGTGGTCCACAGTGTTTATTAAGTTATAAAAGCTAACCAAAAAAAAGAGAACGATGTATGGGTCAATAACAATAGTATTATCAGGAGCAAGGAATTAGAATTTAAATTCTTCTGTAGGTCCAAAGGGTATAATCCTGAAAATGTGTTAAATTATGAATGAAAAGTAAACCTCTCTCTCAGGGTTGACGAAATAGTTTGAGAACTGAAAGCACAGAAGAACTGGAAGAATAACTCAACTTCTTAATCTACCCTCAGTATTTTACAATTGCATTAATAAGATTCGAGGGGGAGTTGGTTAGAAGTTGTTTCTTTGGTTTGGTAAAAGAACAGACTTTCTGGAAGGTCATTGTGCACCTTCATGAAAATCAGCAGGAACTAAAACAGAGCTTTGGTGAAAGGAATACATTCCCTTGCAAACCCTCAGGGAACTTACTGAAATTATTTCCTCTACCACAAAACGCTCACCCCTGAGGCAGAGCTCAGGGGTTGTCTATGCTGCACCCTCATTTTTATGTAAATTGCCAGGTTCTTGCTTCCAGCTCTGTCTTAAAGTACTGTTTGAAAAGGAACATTTTATTGCATTTTCTTTCTCAGGATTATTTGGAGTTGTTTTTTCTACATGTTGGTGGATTTTGGGAATATAATCCTTTTCATTTGTAGGAACATAAAAGGTCACTTGTATAGTTTGCACGGCTTACTAACCTTTGGAGCCAGGAAAATGATGTTCCAATTTGCTTTTTTCTTTCTGGTTCATTTTATGACTGTCCAATGGTCAGCAATGCCTACAAGAAGGAGCCTTTCTTTGGTTTATTTTTCAGTGGCTGACCTTCTATGACAGCTTGGTTTATTCAGTCAAAACTGAAGTGTGATAACCCAAACTAAAGGTTTGAATTAATTACACATTTACAAGTTTCTCAAAGGAAGAGGAGGCAATAATAGCCTAGGGGATTTCTGTAATTCAAAATAGTAGTTTTCCAGAAAGGAGCTGTGGAGATCTGCAAATTTCACACCACAAGGCATCAAAATAGTGATGGATCAGAGACTTTCAGGGCCTGACTTTTGAAAGTGTCTTTTATTTTTCAAAGGAAGACACACCTGGGCTCTATATGAGGTTTTATTATACAGATAAATAAGCAGTTTATGGAAAACTGTCTCTGTAAACTGATTTTTTATATGCTGACAGGGCAACTGAGATGCTTTAGACAATAGAGAGCATCATTGTTCCAAACAAAATGAGTTAACATTTACAATTTTAGAAATGAAATGCCAAAGATCGGTTAGCCTGATTTCAAGTTATTTTATGGGCTCAAATGTTTAAGTATATATTTTTAAATAGTTCAACATCCAAATTAGCCTTCTGTCTTCACAAAGTCTGACTAGGGATTTTATCACCGAAGAAAAAACTCAGGCAAATTTAAAACAAACTAGTTTACACACACAGTAGTTACATGTCGCTCTATAAATAGGTAGGAAGAACACGAATCCCAGCTGACGGCATTCCTACTGGGGTCCCTGGACCTCCTCTGACCACATCTCCTCCCCTACCCAAGAGGTAAACTTGGGTTCCTGGGTAAGCAGCGTCCACCTAGCTTCCATCCTCATCCCTTTTTGTTATATTCTAAAATAAGATGTACTTGATTTTGTAGAGCTTAACTTTACAGAAACAAGTATCACGCTGTGTTTTCTTCTGCAACTTGCTTTTTCCGCACATATGACCTGCCGTACTCATGCACCCGGATGTGCCGCCCGCCACTGACTGAGCAGCTCCATCACAATGCGGCGGGGCTCCAGCTGTCTGGTCTGCTGGGTGGGCTAGCACGAGCTTGCGCGGGCGCAGCGTGTCATTGCCTTAGGAAGGTAACCCTAAATTATCTTCGGAGGCGTTTGTACCAGCTTACACTTTCAGCACATTTTAAGGTCCACAGCTCCACATCTTAGCCGAGACCTGGATGGTCAGATGTTTTAGCTCTCGTAGTCACACGGGTACATAACGGTATCTCAAGGTGGCTTTAATTTGCTTTACCCTGATTACTTCATCTTTCATTATGGTTTCATGAAGTGACTGTGTATAGCTCTATATTTTTAAACATTTTTTAACTTAAAAATCCCAGAAGTAAATTCCAATAAGAAACATGATATACATAAATTTATATAGGTAATTAACATTTCATGAAAATGAACACTGGTCAAAAGATATTAGCTATAGAAGCCAAAGACAAATTTTCTTAACTCTTTTCTTCCTCAAACCCTACATACATGCACTATCTAAATTTTAAGCAATTTTATCTTAATTAATAACCAAGAGTAAGAAAAATATTCTGAATAGTTAATATGATAAAGTAAATAAACCTAAGCAACATCATCCACAACTTCTCTTTGGCCAGATATACCAAAAATTACAATCAATATACTCTATCCCCAAAGAATGTTTTTAACAAATTTCTTCCATGTCTAATCCCACGTTTAGATTAGGTTCCATAATCTAAAGGTCATTTAAAATAATGACTTTTGTGTCCTTTTCTCACACATTAGGCTAATCAATTAAAAAAATTCTTAGTAGGGACAAAATCTCAGTGCCAAGGGAGAAACTGCTTTTCCGCCTCTGAGAAGTTTTCAGTGAAACCAAAGGGCTCGCTACTGTTCAGTAAGCATGTATATTTCAAGACCACCCAGTCTGACTGTGAACCTTCTGGATACTAAAGGTGAACTAGAAGTACCACACGACCAGCCAACAATTATTTGCTACGTATACTCATGGCAGCGCAAAGCAGGGAAAAGTCCTTAAACACCACACACAGAAGCCTTGGGCAAGCTCGGGAAGACTGAACCGCCACATACCTAAGTAATGCTCGTGCACTCTAACGACTTCACAGAGTCCAGGGTCTTCCGAATCCAGGGGCAAAATTCCTGAAAATTAAAATGACAAATCAAAGGGAAACACTACAAAACTGAATCCATGCCTAATGACATACTGTTAAGTGTTGGTCTAAACTTTATTCAGTGGGATCCTGGAGATTCCAGTAGTTTCGAGCCAGCTGGGTGTCTGACGTGAACGCTGCACCACCTGCCGCTCTCTTGTTGCACTTCTGAGTGTACATGACGGCCGAGTAGACAGCCCATCAGAGCCCAGGCCCCGGGTTTCTCACTCCGATGGCTGCACACCTAGTTACCCTCCAAGTTTGGTTCCATAATATACCTTAGTTTGCGTCCAATAAAATCCCTTTCCCCCCCTAGGCTAGTCTGATTTTATTTTTAGTTTCTTCTAAGAATCTTGAGGATACAGTGTCACTGACAGAAATAATAATTCTCTGGGAAACACTTCAGTCAAAGGCAATAGCTTAGAAAGCCAATGAAAACTTTTCCACAAATCCTTTTTAGGCTAAATCTTTTCTAAGTTTATATGAATATCTTCCTATTGCCCACTGAAAAAAAGAGCAATTTTAAATATTACTGAAGTCCTATTTATGTTTATTATGTGGCTATCTAGGACATAGTATAAAAATATATTTGCAAAATAGTACTAATTATGGATAAAAAAGAACAGTAACATGTACAGTAACAGGAACATGAACAGGTCTGGTAAGATTTTAGCTTTATAAGATTTGGAGACCAGAGCTTCTGCGCGGTCAGGTCAGTGAGGGTCTTCAAGCAGACATCATGACTTCTCGGGCTCGAGGCTTCGATCTAGCCCTGCAGGAGGTGTGCCCAGGAAGGGGCCTCACCAGCAAGGCCACTGTGGCCCTCCTCTCTGCACTGCTGAGACAGCACTCAGACGGTGGCGGCTTTGCATAAATATTCCACTGACCTCACATTGCCAACTCTTCACCAGAGGGTATTTGAAAGCAGATCTCAAAATTCAAAAGTACTGACAGGTGGAGCAAGGCAATAAGCAAGCACTAATCACTGCATAGGAAAAAGGAAGAAGCGACTTCAAACAGAGGCCTTTACATAGCGCCATGAACTGTAACTTACCGACCACTTCATCATCTGGTTGAAAGAATGAGACCTTGCTTCCGACTGAAGAGCGGAGAAAATGAAGATTTAGTATTATCAGGCTGTTTACTGTAATTCTTATTAAAATAAACCAAAGAGCCATGGGTCTATTAAAAAGCACTAACTTGCAGGGTATCTGGTTGGGGCTATCTCCATTTCGAATCGACTTCTCTACAAAATCTGAGCCTCAAGGCTGCTGAAGTCACAGAGGGACACAGATGCCAGTGCGCAGCCCAGCTGAGGCGAAGAGCCCACTTCTGTAGCATATTAGCTGCAGAACCTCAGACACGTGACGGGGAGTTCTGGTAAGAATCATATAAAAATTACCATGACATGGGATTATGGGAAAAATTCAGACTGGTACCGAGAAATTTGTCTGAGCTATGTAGAAATCACCCAGTCACATTTTCTCAGCATGTGAAGCAAAAAAGTCTGAGTCAACAGTTAATTCTCTTTTTTTTTTTTTTTTTAAAAGAAGATTTATTTATGGGCCCTCCTTGGTGGCGCAACAGGTTAGGGCACAGCTGCTTCAGTGTGAGTTCGACCCCCGGCCAGGGAGGTGAGTCCTATGGGGAGATTCTCATGTCTCCCCGCTGCTCCCCTCAGCAGTGTACTTCATCCATCTGCCTGTTCTGCTCCCCACTTTGTCTCTGGGGAATCCTCCCACCACTCCTGCACCTCTGGCCGGTACCCCAGTTCCGTGTGCATAAGTAAATACATTTCTAAAAAAGGATTTATTTATTTATGCCTACATAATTGGGGTGTAGGCCAGAGGTGCAGGAGTGGTGAGAGTAGTTCCAGAGGCAGAGTGGGGAGCACAACAGGCAGATCCACTGAAGTACACTGCTGAGGGAGCAGCGGGGAGACAAAAGAGGATGTTGCACCGTGTGGGTCAGCTCCCTGGGTGGGGACTGAACTCATGCTGCAGTGGCTGGTGACGGCTTGATAGCTTTAACACCTGCACCACCAGGGAGGCCCTGATCAGTTAACTCTTCAGAATATTTTTACACAGAGATTTACAAGGGAAAGAGGGAGGGGAAAAAAAAACAAACATTCCTGAATGCTTACCGTGTTCATCATTTTCAGCGTGTAATCTCATCTAACCTTCATAGTATATCCATGTGGTGGGCATTATTATTCCCGTTCAATAGACAGGGAAACTGAGGGCAAGCAATGCTACCCATGGGTGGGCACCCTGACCTTGGCACTCATGTTCTGGCACTCAGTCAGCAGCTCTAAAGTCCTGCCTTCCAGGCCGCCTTCCCGCTCTGCCACGGGTCTCCTGTCCTGACTTCTCACCACTGCGCGTTTCTCTTCCCTTCTGGAGAAGGGACAAGCCTCATCCTCCTGGGAGTCAGTGTGCTCCCATTTTCTTGGCTTCCCTCACATTCCCTTTTCTAGTTCTTTGAACCATATCATTTCCAGGGGTTCTGGGAGATGTTTGTTTTTCCTCCACCGCTACCCTCTCTCCCTGGGGGAGCACATCAACTCTTCCTAGTTCACATATAATCTACATGCCGACAACCCTCAATACAGACAATGCTAGCACAGATCTCTCACCTCTGAGCTTAAACTCACACCATTACAAGATATCTCTGTGAGATGTCACTTAGGTGCTCTGAACTCAGCAAGTATAAATCTAAACTCACCATCTTCTAAATCTGGTTTTTATACCCTGCTCACCTGGTGACAGCAATTCATACCATAACCAGAATCCTGTAAGTCAGTCCTTATTTCCCATGTTCCAATCAATTCCTCAGCCTGCTGACTCGAGTTGCTCACTAGTTCTTGAAGATGTCCCTCGTCTCCACCCAGCCAGCAGTGCCAAGGAGATGGACTTTGTTGTCGCTTGCATGTTGGTTCACGACCCATTCGGCGCTTGCTGTGTGTCCTGGCGGGCCTCACAGCTGCCCTGCATGCGACCACTCTAGTAATTTCCATCAGCCCAGTCAGTCGCAGGCGGCATTTCATGGGCCTGGCCCGTGACTAAGCTCCCGCTGCATTTTTTTGTTGTGGGGAGGTTGTATGTGTGAAGGAATCAGTGTTTATATCAGAATGAACATATTTTGTTCAATGTCTTTAATTCTGGTATATTTGAAGGAGATTTTTCTTGACAAAATGTTTCTCTGCTGCCAAATGCCTCTGACACCTAGCCTGAGCTTTACGTTGCTTTAGCAACACCAAACTGTGATTTGAATGTTATTACGGCTCCTCTGTCTTCGCTCATGGTGCCATCTCTGCAGACCAACCGCCAGGCTAGCTTACACCAAGAAAGCTTTTCAGCTTCTCCCGAATCAGTTGCGCACTTGACCTTGCAGCTCATAATAATCTGCTCAGGGCCTCCCTGAAGGTGCATGGGTAAAGCCTCAGTGCTATGAAGCTATCGGCAGCCTCTGCAGTGCGAGTTCCATCCCCGGCCAGGGAGCTGACCCACAAGCACAACAGCCCTCCCCTGTCTCCCTGCAGCTCCCCTCAGCAGTGTATTTCAGTAGATCTGCCTGTTCTGCTCCTACTGTGTCTCTGGTGAGTCCTCTCACGCCCCCCCCTATAATTCTGGCCTACACCCCAGTTCATGTATACATAAATAAATAAATCTTAAAAAACAACCGCTCAAAGGTATATAGCTCTTCCTAGATTGTAATCACTTTGAGGGCAGGACTTCACTCTTACTTATGTTCATATTCCAAACACATTCCAAGTCATTCCAAGTACATGTTAGGTAAGGAATGACTGAACATCTTCTGGCCATTATCATTCTTACTTTTACTTTTCCTATAGTCTGAGCAGAGGAAGGAGAGGGAAAGAAATTAGGATTTCACTACGTCACAAGGGTACAGTGAGAAAAAGTATTACACATATTATAATAATATTTATAATTTGATAAAAAATCGAATAGTCTAACCTATGTTATTACTGGCCCATTCACTCGCGTACGAGAGAGAACTACTGCTTCCCGATGGTCATGAATTACCTATCAACAGACTAACAACAGCAGCTCTAATTAGAAACAAATGACCGCAACACTTAAGTTTAGGTATTTGATGCCTGTTAAGACCATTCTTGATGCCTTGAGTACCATTTTAACAAGCCTGAAACTACCCTGTAGGCAAACTGATGTCCCTATATCAATTTAAATAGGAAACTGACATCAAGTTTTTAGTTTTAAATTATCATTCTCTTAAAAGATGTATTTTATATTATTTTTTTACAAGATTTATTTATTTAGGCATACAAGAGCTAGGGTGTGGGCCAGAGTTGCAGGGGTGTGTGTGAAAGGACTCCTCAGAGACAGAGTGGTGAGCGCAACAGGTGGATCTACTGAAATACGCTAAACGGAGCAGCGGGGAGACAGGCGAGGTCTGCCACGCCATGTGGGTCAGCTCCTTGGCCAGGGGCTGAACTTGTGCTGCAGTGACTGCAGAGAGCTTGATAGTGCTGAGAATTAACTCCATGTGCCACCAGGGAGGTCCCTCAAAACTTGTATTTTAGAGGGTCAACTCAGCTATTCCCTATTTTACAGAGCTTAACTGAGATAATTTACTCATGAAATACTTGGAACAGAGAAAATATTTTAATAAATGTTCATTTTAATGTCATATAACTTGGTTCAAAGTTATCAATTAAAATATTAAAAAAGAACATCTTATATATTGAATTATTATTTTTATGAATGCAACTGCCATTTTACAAATTAGTAATAGGTAAGCCAATACTAACACAATAACAACATTACTTCAATATGCATATAGGGAATCAAAGTAAAAACAAAAACAAAAACAAACAAATCTGTAAAAATTAGTATTTGTATCACTCCAGGCAGACTATGAAATATCAAATGGAAGTGGTGAAAATTTAAGAGGTTTGAAAGGATTAGTCAAAACTTCTGAACTAAAATTCAATTAAGTTTCTTAGTAAATTTTGTATCAGCTTTAATTGAAAATTGCAAATGTGTCTTTTCCCCATTTCCTTCTTAGATTTCTATGCTATTTAAGAATTTCAAGTCTTTCATTTCTCTTAATCAATGATCTTGCATAAATATTAAGATGACATATTTATTTCTTTGTATTTACTTTCCTTCCCTCAATTATTGTCTTTTTAAAGAATTTTATGTATTGGGCTCTCTCTGGTGGTGCAACAGGTTAAACCTCGGCACTATGAAGCAAGCCACAGCCACCTCAGCGGGAGTTCAATCCCCCTGCCAGTGAGGTGACCCACATGATGTGGCAGATTTCTCTTGTCCCGCCCGCTGCTCCCCTCAGCAGTGTACTTCATCAATCTGCCTGTTCTGCTCCCCACTCTGTCTCTGATGAGTTATCTTACCACCCTTGCACCTCTGTCTTGTACCCCAGTTCTGTATGCAAAAGTAAATAAACCTTTAAATTTATTTTGTTCTTCATAAGCAATGATCTGGCATACATTTCTCAGATGCCGTATTTATTTCTTTGTATTTGCTTTCCTTCTCTCAATTATTATCTTTCTCCATATACATATTTCGAGATAACCAAGGTCTAGACACCACGGCTATTATTATTTTTCCCAAAGCAATTTCCAACTAGGTCAAGAGTCAATAAAATCTTACTACTATATTAAAAAATTTAAAAAAATTCATTCTTTACTGAATAAAACTTGAAAACAATTTTTTTGGACTTAAGGCAATTATAAAATCTTACTGGTTATTTCTCCCCAGAACCCATTTTTAATTTTTAAATGCTAAATTTTAGGTAAACTTTAAACACTGAAAGTGAATATAGTTAACTATTACATAAATTTTAGTCCAAAACCAACGTAAGACAAGTTATTTATCCTAAAAAGGGCTATACTGGTCAGGTCATCCCTATTCAATACGATTATTAATGGACTTAAGTACATAACCTCTAAATATCCACTAAATTGTAATAAGCTTTTCACTTATCAACCACCGATGACCGGCATCTCCCTGGTGGCATGTCGGGTTAAAGGGCAGCACTATGAAGCTTGCCTCAGGCGCTTCAGCATGAATTCAATTCCCACGCTGGAGGTGACCCACAAGGCCCAGCAGACCTTTCCTGTCTTCCCCCCCCACTCCCCCCCCCCCAGTGTATTTCAAGCAATTTGTCTGTTCTGCTCCCCACTCTGATGAAGTATCTCACTGTCCCTGCACCTCTGGCCTGTACCCCACTTCTGTATGCATACATAAATAAAACTTTAAAAAAATGTTCTATTTGTCTTTTTAATTAAAAGGAAAACATATCTTTATAATTAAATTTACATTTGAAGACTTGTATATAATTTTATGTTAGTAAACCAATTAGTTATAATTTCTTTTGTCTTTGAAAATAAATCCAGATATTTGTATCTGTAAACTTACCATCTAACACAATTCCAGCAATTTCTCTCCCAACAGGAAAGAAGTCTTTCTCCATCTTCATTTCTGCTAGAAGCTAATCAGGACAAAGGCTGTTTACTGTCAAGAACAAATCCTGGCCTCTTCTCATACATGAAGAAAGCAAGAGCAAAAATCAAACCACAAAAACCAAACATAATTCCATTTTTGGAATCAAGACAAAGCACATAACTTTGAAAAACATTTCTCCAGAGACAGGAAACCAAGACAGAGCTGGGGAATTAACTGGTATGTAGGGCTTAGTTGTGAGTATTATTATTCAAATCACCACTGACATACTTTAAAGTCTTTAATCTGCCAGCACTGAAGGGAAGTTACAGCCAGAACCCTTGGTGGCTCCACACTTTCTAACAGTCAGTCCAGGACAGGGTGAGGGGTGAGGGGCCCTGGGGAGAACAGAGGGCTTCTCCACCCCCACATTCCTCCAGTCTAGAAAACACTGGGTGAGGGGTCAGGAGTTAAACATGATGGACAGACGCAGGGAGACAGAAGTTCAGGCTGGAGTGTCTTCTTTTAAAGGATAAATAACTCATTGTTAAGAGATTAGCACTGCGTTCGATTCTGACCAAATGAAGCACTTGATTGTTAGAGGGACAGAGTGTACACACATAAACCTGTAGTTTAAGGTCCTGCACTTAGAGCTCTGTAACATTTCATTTGAACATATTTATAGGTCTATTGGTACTTTAAGAACAATAAATAAAAAGGCATTGAAATGCTTTTCATATATATATATTTGCCTGCGTATACTTGATTGCCCAAAAAGTCTTTTTCTGTTTGGAACTTCACAATTTTCAAAGATGTTTCTGTCGTTTCGTTGGAAATACCGGGTCTGTGACAGTTGTACACACATCCATGCAGAGCTGTAATTATGATAACCACCCTGTCTCTGTCACTTGCCATAAACATTTTCCAACATCACTGTGCAGGTTTCACAACCATTATGCTTAAAAGTTATACAGTATTTCATTACATTGATTTTTCTACTGATTTCCATTAGATGTGAAGTTAACTTCCTAGTCTGGGATTTTAACAGATTTCTCCTAGTCTTAAAAAGAATAGACTGGAAGGGCTGAATATATAACTTTGCAGACAAACAGTACTAGTACTGTTACAGGGCACCCCAATGTGAATTGGGGTGCCTGTCTGTGCGTCTTCACCCGTGCGCTTACGATTCAATCGTATTATGGACACACTCAAAAGGTTAAATAATGGATTTATTTATAAGGAGAAAGGTAAAGGAATAACCCAGGGAAAGAGGGAGAGAAACACAGGTTAACTAGGATGCCCTACCAGTTCTGCTGACGTGGACTCCACCGGCCGCTGAAAACCGACTGAGCGCCAAAACGATCAGCTGCGAACCACCAGGTCCCCCCAGAGCCCACATGTCCAGTTTTATCCCAACCTGGCTGCTCAGCTCCGCCCTCATGTCCCGGTGTGCTTCTCCTTGGTACTGATGGGATTTGGAGTTCCAGCATCTGGAGTGGGGGCAGAGTCCGTGAAACCTGGACCTGTTACAATTCCCCCCTTTTGATTTTCATACCACCATATCTATGGTGGCACAGACTTTAGAGTACAATCAGTCACCAGCATTGTCCATGAATGTCCATTATGACAGCCATAAGTGGAAAATAGTCCATTAGTGCATGTGAAAGGGAAAAAAAAACCTTTTTGGTGGGTATCAAAATCATAGCAACAGAACAAAACAAAACTTTAAAAGCTTTGTTTAAAAGGTTCTCTCAACCTTGATCCCAACTTTGTTCAACTTGTATGCACAAGTGATTTACAAATACATGTTAGCTTTTAACCATTTTTGTATTTTTGCATAAAATCACAGGGCAGAATAATCAAGTAGCCAGTTGTTGTTGCTAACTTGTAACAGGTACAGGTTTCATGGACTCCGCCCTACTTCAGATGCTGGAACTCCAAATCCCATCAGTACCAAGGAGAAGCACACCAGGACATGAGGGCGGAGCTGAGCAGCCAGGTTGGGATAAAACTGGACATGTGGGCTCTGGGGGGACCTGGTGGTTCGCAGCTGATCGTTTTGGCGCTCAGTTGGTTTTCAGCGGCCAGTGGAGTCCATGTCAGCAGAACTGGTAGGGCATCCTAGTTAACCGGTGTTTCTCTCCCTCATTCCCTGGGTTATTCCTTTACCTTTCTCCTTATAAATAAATCCATTATTTAACCTTTTGAGTGTGTCCATAATACGACTGAATCGTAAGCACACGGGTGAAGACACACAGACAGGCAACCCAATTCACATTGGGGTGCCCTGTAACAGTAGCCCTGGGCAAGGACTTTAGGGCAGCTCACTGATTCCCCTCTCAAGTCAAGCTTATTATGAAGTGGCCCAATGGAAGTCTCCAACCCTGATCTGTAAATTCCCTAGATGTGACATTATGGAAGAAAACTTTCAGATCTTAGAAACTATGGTGACATTACATCCAGTAAGCTAATGGTCCAAAGAAACAATGGCATTAATCTTCACAAAACCATGTATGAGTAAACGGGCCTGATTTATTCATCAATGGCATGTTTAACCACACTTTAATGTGTGAAGGCTTTCCATGTTTTCCATGATCAATAATGGTAGAAGACCGTGGAGTGTTGTGAGGCAGGGGATGTGCACACATGGGGAAGGAAGACAAATAGAAATGAAGAACATGAACTCTATCTAAAAAATATTACCTAGAACTATGTATAGACCAGAAGGTTAATAAATTAGTACATTAAGTTTCTGGCTTTATTTTTACTGTACCTGTTACCCAAAAGTAATTACCCAAAGGTAATTTCTTCATTTACAGGCCTTAGCTTACAAAACATTTCAAATAATATACAAAATATATTAATTACCTCAATTACACTAATAAATTTATTTAACATAGAAATAGCGTTTTGGCCAAAATAAAACACCAATACCTTTGTATTTATCTGGCTCAGAGCACAAGCTTTAACTTGAAGTTTCACATAATGATCATCTGTAACAGGAAGATTTTCCTAGAACCCAAAGATGATAAATAAAATAATTACACATTCTTTTGAGTACATGCCTTTATGTTGTGAATGGTTCATACATAAAATCGAGCAAAATTAAACAGACCCAAATCTTACAGTTAATTGAAAAAGTTATAATTGTCCAGTAGTTTATAATAAAAACAGAAAAGGGGACTATGGGGTAAAAGCTTTAAAGTTGAAAAGTTTTAAAGAAACTTAGTGTACCTATTTTGAAAATGTTCTCAGATACTCAGGTAGTAGATATATATTTAACACTAAGGTCAGGTAATAAGGGGGAACAACAAATACTGCATTGCATTTCAACATAAATAATCTTAACACTCAGAACCTTCACACTTACAGGGATAATCCTCTATATATAACCTTTACTGATGCTGAAATTTTCCTAAGGTTATGATGAAGTTTTTTAGTGTCACTTTTATCTCTTATGGAATAGTCATGGATATATTTGGCACGCTCCATGAAATTCCAGGGTGAAAAAAAACTTAGGAATGAAATCACCCCTCTTTTAGCTCTTGCTATAGAGTTAAATGTAATTTCCACAGGAAAAACAAAAAACAAAACTCCAAAACAAACAAACTTCACATTCAAGCACTCAATGTCATCCACACTTATTAATGAATGTAATAAATGTAACAACATTGCCCTCCGATAGCCATACCCTGGTACTGATAACTAAAACACTCTTTTCAATTCCTGATATGCCCCCAAAATTAGGTCCCAAACCTCCTAAGAGTAGTTACTGGCATAGTCCCTCCTCCTGAGCCCCATTGAGGGGATCACTGTGCTTTGACTGACTGATGGGAACACTTTGTCTGGGAACACCCCTTTTTAAATCTCAGATTTGATACTTGGTGATATTATGAAGACACCCAATAATACCGATGAATTTGTGGATTTTACTCAGGATTGTGTGAGCATTAAGTGTCAATTGAATTTTTGACCTTTCATTTTCACCCAATGGTAGAAGCTAAGTTGTCTGAAATTTAATTCCCCATCTAACTGATTTTGGAGCTCATGAAAAGTAACAGAGAAAAACTGGACTGTGCTCATAATCTAGAAATTATTATTATTATTCTGAAGTATATTATGATGAAATACATGTAGCATTCAGTTTTCACTCCTGAGTTCTCCTTGCCTACAATCACCTATATATGAAATTCCACTATTTGTGCCTTAAAGTATTTTAAAACTAGAGACCACGTAAAGTTTAGTGAATGAGGTAACGGTGTGCAAAGCCCAGATATTAGAATGGTAAGCAGTACTTTTCCTACTTTTTCATTTCATATTATGAAAGGAAGCATTTTTCTGAACTATGATTATAATCTTAAAATTCACTTTATTGAGGTATTTAGGTTAAGCTGGATTAGTTTTGTAACATAGAAGAATATTAAAGTTGTTCTATTTCTTAGGATCTTTCATATCGTCACCGTAAAAACTCTATAATAGCATCTCAGTAGTGAGTTATAACTAAGTGCTCATTAGCAGATGATTGGGTGAAAAAAGGTACATGTCTGCCTTCCTTGTGGCCTTGGGGTTAAGTCTCAGCACTACCACCTCTACGGCCTGTGTTTGACCCCAGGCCAGGGAGCTGACCCACATGGCGCAGCAGACTCTCCTGTCTCACCTGCTGCTCCCCTCAGCAGTGGACTTCAGTGGATCCATCTGTTCTGCTTCCTAGTCTGTCTCTGGTGAATCCTCTCACTCCCCTAGAATCTCTGACCTGCACCCCAGTTCTTCCATGTCAAAAAAGTAAAATATTTTTAAATGGATTATTCTTATAAAAAAAAAGTATATGTGACTGTGTACATACTGAGCTGCAAAAATGATGAAACCCAACAATATAGATGGACCCACGTTGTTATTATGTTTAATGAAGTACATCAGGCAAAGACAAAAACTATCTGATTTTATTCCTAAGTGATATATAGAATTCAAGCAAATGGATTAACTAAATAAAACAAACTTTTAAACTATCAAACTAAATTAGTGGTTACCAGAGGGAAGGAGGAGAGGAGTGGGAAAACTGAACAAAAGGGGTCAACTTTGAAGGACAACACTGGACACTCAGTGAACTTAATGCTGTATAGATAATGTTGATTTTTAAAGATGCGCACCTGCAACACGTTAATTTAAAAAACTAAAAAGATGAATGGTCTAAGCAAAAACGCATTACATGTAACTATATACAATATGGACCCCCATTTTCACATAAGCTTTGACCTGCTCCATTTCCGACCTGGGCCGGTTCACCCCTCCTTCGGCAACCTCGTGGTCCCCCGCTCCCGGGAGGTCACCATATTGATGCCGAACTTGGAGAGGACACCCGATGGTTCGGCTAGCACACTGTAGCCCAGAGCTCCCGGGCTCGAGCGATGCTCCTGCCCAGCCTCTGCCTCCCCAGTAGCTGAGACTACAGGCTGCGCCAGCACTCCCGGCAACTTTCACATAAGCTTTAAAGGAAAGTAATCTGAAGAGTTTCATCTGAACAATTTGCATTCATTTAGTTCCATTCAAAGTAACTTATAATAGGTCATTTAAAACTGGATGTATTTCCTTTGGGAAATGTACTCTTGTTTTATGTAATAATTAGATAATTTTTCTTACCCTTTCTTGAAATACAAATGTAATTTCTTCATTTGTAGAATTTCGTTGAAAATATAAGCCTTTCATAGTCACCTACAAAAGAATAACGAAAATTAGTATACCTGAAATAAACCGATAAAGTGTCTTCCAGACAAAAAGAAAGCAAAACTTGAAAAACACCTGTGGTAGAGGATAAAGTAACACCTAGAAATGTAGCCTTCAAGCGAATACACTTAACAGTTTCTGAAGGTGATCCAAAAAGAGACTATGTAACAGTCTCTTAAGAGTACAGAGTTAGAGCGCAACCTTTCACTTTGCTAGTCAATAAAACCTAGGAGATGTACTTGGGGGAGAAACACAGACTTTACCAGGGCTAGCGAAGCTCAATTTTAATTACCTAAGATGATATATAAAGCTTTCACAGTCTCAGAAAAAGCAGACGTCAAGATGCCCCTTGAAACTGTGCCCTTCTTTCTTCTGTATCAATTTATAAACCACTTCATGAAACTAGGTAAACCTATATTGTGAGAATGTTTAAATAAACCTTGAAGGATTCCACAGTCATTTCTTGAATTCCCATAGTAAATGTATGGCAAGACTATTTTCTTAAATGTAAATTTTACAGAAGTATAAAATACACACAGAAGAGCATGCAGATCTCAAGTGTGTAGTGTGTGGAATTTTACTGAGTAGAGCATATCGCAGTGCCAATAGGTATTTCCCGTTTAGTCACTACCTACCCTCCTAAGAATACTCACTACCTTGAGTTTTAGAACAGATTAGTTTTGTCTGTTTTTGACTTTGTAAATGAAATCATACTCCTTCATATCCAATTTCCTCGGGGTGAGTTTCACATACTTTTGCTTGTAGTTTGTTCATGTTCACCACTATACAGTATTCCACTACAGGAACGACCATTTATTTCTTTTATAGACATTTGATTATTTACAATTTGGAGCTCTTACAAACTAGTCTGTTACTCACACTTTGGCAGACACCTCCTGGTAGAAGTACTATCATTCCATTTATTTCATGGACACAGAAACTGAGTCTTATAGAGACTCAGTTACACATCCAGGGCCTTCCTGGTGGTGCAGGGATTAAAGTCTCAGTGCTATCAAGCTATCAGAAGTCTTTGGGGTCAGAGTTTGATACTGAGCCAGGGAGGTGACCCATAGGGCGCAGCAGACCTCTACTGTTCCACCCGCTGCTCCCCTCAGCATTGGATTTCAGTGGATCTGCTTATTCTGCTCCCCACTCCTTTCATCCCCCCTCACCTCTCGTGTACACCCATCTTGAATGCACCAAAAAAGAAAAAAATTTGTAAAGGTAGACACCTAGAGTCTCACAGCACCAAAAGGTCAGAGTTGGGACACAGCAGATTCTACTAGTCCCAAGTGTAGTTTCCTTAACCATTCTATTTAGATGCTTTCTAAACTGAGATGCTAAGATGAGCTATAATGACCTAAGACTAGAAAATATATCCTTTAGTACAGGATTGATAATTATTAAGTACTTACTGATATAATTGGCTATATAATTTGTAGGACCCAGTGCAAAATGAACACGTGGAGAATCTTATGCAGAAATTGTTAACATTTCAAGATGTGACAGCAGAGCATTAAACCAAGCATGGTTCCCTTTGAGTGTGAGGCCCAGAGTGCACAGTACCGGTGCCGAGCCTCAGTGGACCTGACGGGTCCTTACCCAGGATTTTTACTGAGTAGCTCATGGTTGCTGCTTTCTGAAATGTGATAACGAAGTGTTGAAACTAACAGAAACGAATATATATTCTACTTATATGTGTGTGTGTGTGTATAAATCATCTATGTTGCACATATCAACAAAGTACATAAAACAGGCGACCTAGGCTAAATCATTAAATGAATTTGAACCCTTTGGTAGAGGAAGGTCTTTGTGTGTGTCCGTGTGTCTGTTGGGGTGCTGGTGGTGGTAGGAAGGAGGGAACAGCCTAAATAGATGCAGCAGCTCTGTCCTCCCCCGACAGTACATCTAACCCCCTTGCCTAAGTCTCAGGGCTGTTGGGGGGGGGAGGTGCCCGTGGCCCGAGTCACTTTCCCAGCACGCTCGTGTCAGGTCCAGCCAGGCTTCCCAGCATACAGTCTCCCTTGTCTCGGGGCTCCCAGGCCTGCTTCTCTGCGATGGTATTGTGCTAACGCCGGAGCTTCTAACACAGAAACTAAGCTCAAGTCCTGCTCTCTGAAATCACCCCCAGCACCCAAACCACCCATCTGTTCCATGCTTCTGGATTTCACCACATATTGATGAATTATCCACTTGCTTTATCCACTTCCGAACTGGCGGGTTACCCAGTTATTGCTTGGGAGAATCAACATCCATTGTTACGAAACTAATCTCTGCTTGGACTCAGTCTGAGGCTCCCAGAGTTGCCTTCTTGAGAGTAATTACACAGCAATCCCTCTGTAGCAGCATTTCCCCTGCCCGTTGCCCTGAAAATCACGGCATGCCTTCCCAGATCAGTGCACGTCATGTGGTGTGTGCACCCCGATTTCATAGACTCTGGCTGGTGGGCCTTTATCTTCTAAGCAAGTATTGCATTCCTAATCGTGCCAATATTTAGTCAGATCTGCCCCAACAGCTCTTCTAAATTAGTTTAAAAACTGGCCAGGCTGGTAGAAAAGAGTAATGTTTAGTTAATTCAATAAAGAATTCATGTAGGGATGAAAATACCCTGAAGTTACAAAATGAGGCCTTTTGCACAAGAGGTCAGAAGAAACTGATGGAAATGTCATCTGTTTTGTAAACCCTAAAAAGGAATATTCAGTTCTTAACACTGAGAAGATGGCAGAAGGCATGAATCTGGGGCCCACTTAATTTCTCAGGTGCAAGCTCAGATTAAAGGGAACACTCAGCTCATTATTTAATAAGATTTTTAGTGACTGTGCAAGACAGTTGCACACAATACCTAAAATATGTGAACACCTTATTAGACAGAACAAAAAAAATGTAGTCATGTTTCTTGGAACATGTGTCAGTTCCAAGAATAGTGTCATGTAACTTCAAAATTGTATATTCTGTGGTAAATTTTCCTTTGACAAAAAAGTGCTAGCAAAAACTTTTAAATGAAAATAAACCTGTTTAAAGTGTAGGCTGATATGCCCTCTAAAAAGCATAATGATTTTATAATTTCTAGATACTTGAGATTTTAAATATATTTAACATAGGTCCACAAATTGAGGATTGTATATGATACTTTACATTTTTATAATGGTCATACATTAGACTTATTAAAAAAGCTGGAGAAACAAAAATCAAGGCACCTAATTTTAAATAATTACATAAATTAAACACTTGACTGTTAACACTTCCAGAAATTAGTTTAATAAAAGTACTGGTTTCTGAAAGGATTTAAAGGTTTCTATAGGAAGAAATACCACATGGTTTCAGGCTAGTGATGACAGCGACATGAACTCCACTTGCTTTTCTCTGGCTACACTTAGCCCCCCAAGGAACTCATCTATTACATTTGTAAATAAATCCTCGACAGACCACTCCTTAAGTATACTTTCAGACCTAAAGTATTTCTAAGCATCAGCTCAACCTCAAATTCAGCTGGCATAAACCTGGACTCATCTTCCATGATTTATGATTTTGCTGTACCAATCTATGGTCACCAAGGGTACCTTAAGAGTCTATGTAGTACATTGTTCTGTATTAAATTATTGACCATGGGTCCTCCTTGGTGGCACAGGGGTAAAGTCTCAGCACTACAAAGCTATTGCAGCCACTGTAGCACAAGTTCGATTCCCAGCCAGGGAACTGACACACATGGTGCAGCAGACCCCTCCTGTTTCACTGATGCTCCCCTCAGCAGTGTGTTTTGGTCAATCTGCCTGCTTTGCTCCCTACTCTGTCTCTGGTGAATCCTCTCACTCTTGCATCTCTGGCCTGTACCCCAGTTCTTGTATACATAAATAAATCTTTAAAAATAACAAAAAGTAATAAATTATTGACCATGAAGCATCTTCCCTTTCCCTCCCGATATCCTGGCTCGGCTTCTCACTTTTGGTTTTGATGATCAGCATATACTCAGGGTGCAAAGGAAGTCACCCCCAACCCCCCTGGTTCTTCCAGGTTGCCAAATAACCAAATAAGCATTAGATATGAGAGAAGGCCAAACAGAAATTTAATAATAACATGTAGACATCCTGCAAACACAGGAAAGACCCAACAGGGAAAAAACTCACTGGTGTCTTCAGAGGCTATCTTGAAAAATCTAACTATGGGGAGTTGGGTAAAGTAGGGTAAATTCAGTTAGGAAGTTTACTTGGAAAAGCACATTAGGTAAAGATATGCAGATTTAAGTTCTGCCTTTTTAGAAAAGCGATAAGGAAAATGGGTTTTCCTGGGACTAGCCCTACTGAGAGAAGTTCACAAATAAATATGAAAAGCAAGGTTCATCCAGCCTCCAGAGACCCACCTTTTACCAAAGACCTCTGGGGTAGCAGACACTACCTGTCACTTAGGTTAACACTGAAGTGTGTCAGATCTGGGCTATGGTCTCAGGCTGCTGAACAGCCTCAGTTCTTTCTCTCAGCAGATCCATTTGTTATTCTTAAGGACAACTTAATTTCTCAAGGCCAAACTCCACGTGCCCCTCGTCATGCCAGAGCTGGTGCCCAGCATGAGGGACCAGCTGAAAGGCAGGGGTTAGACTAAATGGCAGGCAGATAGACTAAAGCGTATCTTCAATAGTAAGTTTTAATCAAGCTCTTATTCATCTGTAAGATTTTGCATACACATCCACATGTCAGATAAAGAAGTATGTAAACCATGTGGCCAAATCTTTGGTTGAAAATTAGGGTCAGCGTGACCAAAGCGACCAGATATAGTGAGACATTCAAAATTCCTAAGCTTTCCCATCCTGTAAGGAGGCAATGAAAGGACTGAGCTATTCTACAGTCCAGGATGCTGTACTGGACAAGAGGCCCATCTGTCTGGTGGTTTGATTTTGAATGCACAACACGGAGAACTGTAAACCTACCAAAATATTTCACTGCAAAAAAACCCAGACACCATGACCTTGTATAGAGAATCCTTTGTTTCAAATCTAAACAAACATCTCATAAAGTGACATAAAGTGGTGCAGAGGCATCCGTGAAACACAATTAGTGATAACAGATAGTAATTAAACCCCAAAGTGGTGCATGGGTGGGATTCAGAAGTCATACCTAACCCTAGTTTCAATTCTGGCTCTGCTTCTTATTTGCCCTTTGATTTTAGGCCACGGATGGGCTCTCGAGTCAATATCTGTATTGGTAGTTACCTCAAAGTGTTGCTGTTAAGTACTAAAACATGCAAAGCACTCAATATACCTGGTACAAAACAAGCACTCACTACATGGTGGTTATTTGTAAGATTATTTCTGACAACTGAGATGCTCAAAAGTAATGCTTGAGCTCATTTCAGTGAAGGGTTTACTCAGGTGCAAGTTGAGCTTTCATACCTTTTATTTATTTTTTGCAGTGGGTTATTAGACCATGGCACTTGCTCTGTCCATCAACACTAGCCCCTGACCACAGGCAGCTACTGAGCATTCAAACTGGCTAGTGGGAACCAAAATGTGCTGTAAGTGTCAAGTATACAGATTGTAACGGTTCAATATGAAAAAGAGAGTATTTCCATTTTTTAATATTTGATGAGTTGAGAATATTTGGGATGTAATGGGTGAAGTGAAACACATTATTCAAATTAACTTCACGTGTTTCTCCAAATTTTTTAACGTGGCTGCCAGAAAATGCCAGAAGTGGCTGGCATTAACTATGCATTGGGCAGAGCTGATGGATGCCACGGCAGCAGCTGGGTGCTTGCTAGAAATGCAGATTCCTGGTCCTAGTCCAGACCTACAGCACTTGAGCACGATTCACGGGTGATGCTCAGCGTGCCCCAGAGTAGCCACCTGTTTAGCTTGGTGCACAGTGCACAGGTAGCTTCAGGGTCATACGCAAGCAGATACCAAGCTTTAGATACTGCTCACCGATAAAGGAAAGCCGACAGGGAGACAGGAAGAGGAGTAAGGGAGCAACAAGAAACTCCAATTATAGGGGCAAAAAGAAGGGAGGGAGCTGGGTTCAAAAGGGAGGTTCAGTGGAAGGGAACTTCCAGACTATTGTCTCCATACAGGTGGAAGGAGATGCAAAATGAGATTAAAAAAAAAA